CAGAGAATCGGCATCAGCTCGCCATCCGACCAGGCTATGGGCGATGCTTTTTTTGTACATCGTTTGCTTATATACTACGCTCAGCAGCGTGGGCAGGGTCCCTGCAGGAGCGGGTGCAGAGGCCGCCGAGCCACTGCACAGGGCATATTGACTCGTCTATGGAAGGGCGAGCCCCCGACCACGGGGAGTTCTTTGGGATGAGAACCATTAAGCCACGACGGATCCCCACTACATGGTAGAGGTAGTACAAGAGGTGTCTTGCTTATCCTGTTTATCCTCACCTTCCTTATCCTGCGCTTCCTCCCCCTCCCCGTTCTGAACTTCCTCCTCCTCTTTCCTCGCCCCTGCCCTTCAGGAGGGCACCGCGTGGTGATCAGCTCCGTGTTCAGGGGGGGGGCACCGCGCCACGGGGGGGCCGTGCCCAATGGCCGCAGAAAAAAATCTGCGCATTGCATCTCATGGAAAGAGGTACCTCAAGCGGGGTGGGCCGGTTTTCGAACGGCTTCGGTGTGTTGAGGTTTCCGGCCGTTCTCGTTGGTTCTCGTCGGCCTCTCAGCCTTCGGCATGCCTCCAGCGACTGCGCCTCGCCGCGGGCGTTCCCCGGCTGCCAGATTCGCCCCGAACGGCCGCTGGAGAGCCGAGGGATGACCCGAAAACCAGGGGGCAACGTGGGTTGGCCCAGAGGGTTGTGGGGCGGGTCGGAGGGTTGGCCGGGGTGCTTCTTCCCATAGTCTGGCCTGCGTGCGGCCGGCGCACCTCGCTCCTCCACCTCGTCATCCTCCGGCTCTGCCCCTCGCCCTGCCTGAGAGGGACAGGCATCGGTGTAGACTTTGGGGGGTCCGCACGGCTTTCTGGGATCGGCGCTGGGGGCCCCCATCCCTGGCGCGGGCGATCCATCCAAGCGATCCGCACGGACCGCCGAAAGTTGTTGGTGATGCCGATGTGCCGTCTTCGATTTCTGCTCCCTCCCTGCCACCTCCTCTTCCTGCGCTTCGTTCTGGCCTCGCGAGTCGGGCGACCGAGCTGAGGTGGGGTGCTCCTTTGTCAGCGTTCTTGTTTACATGCCGTATGAAACGTTTCCTATTCATTGTTGCACATCTTTTACCTCCTGCTCCGAGATCGTGCTGGCGAGATGGCGCGCGCGCGGCCCTCGGCGAGACCGCCCCTTTGAAGGACCACGGGGCGGCATGCAGCGACCTCAGAGACCCATGCCAGGGCAGCATCGGTCAATGCGCTGCTAGCCATATTTGCGACATGCTCGCGCCGTCTCGATTTGGCGGCGTTGCCTGCGCGGGCCCTCCAGGTTGAACGCCCTCCAGAGGCCCGTAGTTCTTGCCCCATGGTTCACAGAGCGACGCACGGCGCACAAATCATTCGAGTGATTGGATCAGAGAACCTCTGGGGACCTCCGAGAAGTTTATGTTGAACGGTTCACGCGGGAACCACAGCCGGCGTCGCCAAGGCATAATCCAGCTGAATGTTGCAGTCGATGATGGGCTTTGCCAGAATATGTTTGGTGGTCTGTTGAGCCCGTTGCCCCTCGGTCCCTGAGGGCTTCACGGCTTTCTTCCAATTGAGGTCAGACATAAAGCCAGATAAGCAAAGGCATTTCCCTCACCCTTCCCCCTCCTCCCAACGCACTTCCCTCCCTCATCGTCGTCCCACGGTGGCGACCGCGACGGCTAACCCGACCACGACGACGATGACGAGGACGGCGACGACGACGGCGGCGACGACGACGACCATCACCTGGACCACGACCGCGACTGCGGCCACGACCGCGACTTGGCGGGGACGGGCAGGGGGCGCGGAGGCGGATGCGTGGAGAAGAAAGGAGAGTATTAGGAGGAAGAGGAGGAGGAGGAGGAGGAGGAGGAGGAGGAGGAGGAAGAGGAGGGGGACCAGTGTAAACACAAGACTCATCAACGATATTGCAGTGAACCCTCGCTCCAAGTTCCCTCTTCATAGGCTCCTGCACGGGCTCATTTTCACCGAGGGGAACGCCCCGTTGGAAGACAACCGTTTGAAAATGCGCAGTTGTGCCAGAACGGCATTCCTGGGATGTCAACGCCGTGAATCACCGTTACCATTGCGGCTTGACGATCCTGAATCGCGCCAGAACGCCATGCTTAGGACTTCAACACCGCGAATGCACGTGACTGCTGCGCCCTGACATTCCGACATCGTGTCAAACACCGTTTCTTCTGGGACATGAGCAATGATAATCTTGGAAAGTGTTGCAAAACTTTAGGACGAATATGCGCGGCGTAAGGGCGAGAGCCACAATTTGGAAAGGAACCGCCCTGCAACCGTGAAGTTCTTGCAAACATTTAATGTGAATGTGCGCGACGCTAAGGCGAGAGCCACATTTTGAAAAGGAACCGCCCTTCATCCGTGAAGCCCTTGCAAAACTTTTACCAGGCATGTGCGCATCGCCAAGGCGAGAGCCTCATTTTGAAAAGGAGCCGCCCTCCATCCGTGAAGCCCTTGCCAAACTTTTTACACGATGTGCGCGCTGCCACGGCGAGAGCCACATTTTGAAAGCGGACCCGCCTCCATCCGTGAAGCCCTTGCAAATTTCAAGCCTCAGGATCATACGTTGTCAGGAGGAAGTCTCAGGCGGAACGCCCGGCACTCCCTTTCGACTGGCCTTTGGATACGACAGGGAGGAGTCATCTACAAGGAAAAGTACTGGAGAGACAGGGGAGGCGGAAAAGGAGGAGGAGGAGGTGGAGGCCTCCACTAGCCATGGAGGACTCAGGATGTGCCATCCCCTTGGATCCCTACCTTCTTCCTAGCTAGGTCTAGTTTAAGCTTGCTTGTGGCAGACCTCATCCAAATAGTCAAGGAATCGAGGAGGTGGAGAGGAGGTGGCGGAGGAGGAGGAGGAGGAGGAGGCGGAGGCGGAGGAGGGACAGGAGGGGCGAGGCTGGGGCGAATGCTGAAGATGAGGAGAGAAGGTGGAGGAGGAGGAGGAGGAGGAGGAGGCGGAGGAGGGGGAGGAAGGCAAGGAGGCAATGCAATGAAGGGACCGAGTGGAAGCGAGTGCCATTTGAGTGTAGACACCAGGGTGTGGGCGGGGAGGGAGGACCAGGAGGACGAGGACGAGGATATGCCGAGGATGAGGGGGAGAGCTGGGGGAGAGAAGGGGTGAGCGATATGCTCCTCCTCCTCCTCGTCGACCCTGCTCTTCCTCCCCCCAGGCCATTTTGGCTCAAGTTCGCGCGCACGCGCAGGCTCTGCCGCCGCCGTGCCGAGGCCGCGTGCGAAGGGCGCCCGCGCAGCACCGCTCGAGGCGGCGCCTGTGGGAGGCGAACGAGGACGCGGCGGGGGTCTCCGAGGCGATGGCGAAGTCGGTCGCGACCTTGCACGCCGGCTATAAGGCGACGGCTGCGGCAGGAGGAGCGGCCGCCAGCGAGGCAGGAGGAGGCAGGGCGCCAGCCTGATCCCAAGGCTCGGCGTCGAGGGCAGCCATTTTGGCTGCAGTGAGGTGGAGTTTCGGCTGGCAGCATGGCTGCCAGGTCGGGCTGCGGCCCGGTGAGTTCTGATGGCTGCGATACGGGGGCCGCTGAGGAGGCCAGTGCAGGATTGCCAGCAGTCCGTGGGGCGGTGGCCTCGGGGCAGCGGCTTGGTCACAGCCGGAGGTCGTTTGAAGTGGAGCGGGCAAGCACGCAGACGGAGGTGGTATGAGTGCTGGGCGTCGGGCCGGGTCCCTCCCAGTCCGGGCGGGGGCCTCTAGGTGGCCCCGCGGCTCGGGCAGTGGCGGCAGCAGTGGGAGTGAGGCCGCAGCCCAGCAGCGAGGACCCTTCGGCAGCGACCGGCGCCGAAGTTCCGCGGAGCACTGGGTGGCAGAGGGGCCGCTGGCGGCGGCGCAGCAGGACGACTGGCGCGTGGCGCGCCTGCGGACGCCAAAAAGGTCCGCCTGCTGCTGTTGTTTTTTCCAGGCACGAGCTCACTCAAACGTGAGAGTTCGCGCGCCAGCCTGGAACGTAAGGTTTTAGAGTGAGGTGCCTGGGGAGGGGGAGGGCCATCTGTCTCCCCGTCTTCTGTCCTCCTCCCCCTCCCCGGCCCACTTGGGCTCAAGTTGTCCTTTCGGGCCCTTCCCTCCCAGGTGCCGTCCCTAGGCCCTTTCGGCTCTCGCCGCATCGCGGTTGGAGCTTGCCGAGGAGCCGCCGTCGGCGGCCGAGGGGTCGCCGGCGGCGGCGCAGCAGGACAACCGGCGCGTGGCGCGCCTGCGGACGCCAAAAATGTCCGCCTGTTGCTGTTGCTTTTTCCAGGCACGAGTTCACTCAAACCAATTCTTCGCAAGCCATGCAGGGCTCGAAACGCGAAAACAGCCGACCTCCTCTCCCTCCTGCCTTCTTCCCCGTGATATCTGTCCTCCTCCTCCTGCCTTCGCCTCCCGCCTCCTCCTCCTCCTCCCGCCTTCTCCTCCCGCCTCCTCCTCCTCCTCCTCCTCCTCCCAGCGTTCGGTTTGGATTTCCCCTAACAGTCTTAGCAGCAAAACTTTTAACGATATCCGGCAGGGGCAAGGTGATTCGGTGGGATAACGTTTGGTCCCGTCGCTTCGACCCCACGGGCACGCGCGATAGCCAAGTCCTCAGATCCCTTTCCCTCGATGTTCTTTATCAATTTCTTAAGTGGCAAGAACAGAGTGCCTGAACGCTAGATTTCAGAGTACCGTCAGGGGGTTCAGAGACCGCTTCGGGGAGCGCCCAACTCAACTCCTCCTCCTCCTCCTCCTCCTCCTCCTCCTCCTCCTCCTTCTCCGCCTCCTCCTCCTCCGCCTCCTCCTCCTCCTCCCCTCCTTCCCCCCGTCCTCCTGCCCCTTTCCTTACCTCCTCATCCTCCCTCCTCCCTCCTCTTCCCCTCTCCTCCTCCCTTCTCCCCCTCCCCCTCTGCCCCCCTTCTCCTGTACCGTCCCCCCTCATCTCTCTCCTGTCTCTTCCCTCGTGTTCTTTTCTATCCACCTGCTGGCGGCCCGCGCTGGCTGTGCCCGCAGGCCCCGCGGGCTCGAGCCAGTCCCAAACCGCCGGTCGGGGCCGGGATGTGTTGCGGACGCCCGGAGGCGGCGGCGTTGTGCGGCCGCCGCTGGGGCCAGGCTGGCAGGGGGATGTGTTGGGCGGAAGGGAGCCGAGAGTGGGGAGGGGAAGGGGGGAGGAGGAGGAGGAGGAGGAGGAGGAGGAGGAGGAGGAGGAGGAGGAGGAGGAGGAGGAGGAGGAGGAGGAGGAGGAGGAGGAAGAAGCACACGATTTCCTACCTAGGCCGTTCCCCGCCCACAACATCACTCGCAAGCAGGGAGGCCTCCTGTCGCCCCCGAGATGCCTGCAAGTCTCGGGCAACGGCCTCTTGAAGTCAGAGACGAGCCATCGTTGTTTTTTTCTCGTTGGCCCGCTGGCTCCAAAACATCCATCGCCCAGGAATTTTAGGGATTCCGGGGTGGAGTGTGCTCTGCACAAGGTACATCTGAACAATCGAGGGACAAGAGTTCTACGCCCACGCTGCGGTACCACAAGATCAACGCAGGAAGCTCCCCAGCACATCTTGGGGTCGAGGGCCAGTTATCCTGACGCTTGAGAGGCAGATATGTGCCACACCTTCAATACGAACGCAAGCAAGACCAGTCGTGCCCAACAAAAACTGCCCGAATTCCTGTCAGCTGTGGGCCATCGGGCAAGCTCAACTCCAGACAGGTCGAGCCTAAGCCAAAGATGCGGGAACTGTGCTCCGATCCGAGCGACTGAATTGGCCACCCGAATTTGCCAACGGAGGAAATCTCTCTCGCTCGCCGACGGCTGCGGGTGGAGTCGGAGGCCCAACTTCGCAGCTGTGACTGCCGAATCAGTGCCATGTTCAAGAAAAGGTCCTGGTCCGAGTGCGCATCACCTTCCAGGACGTGGGCTTTACCCCTTTGAAGTCCCGCCACAGGGCACTAAGTTAGGAGAGCGCCATGCCAGCGTAAAGCCTCATACAAGACAACTGGGAGGCTCTGGGGGCGCTCTTAGCTCGAACCACTTCTTAGGCAATCAGAGTATTCCCCGAGACTTTTGGATGATTCATTGAGAGGGGACTTCTCGGGACGCAAACTCCCCAGCCTGGCTAGTCTGAGGGAAGGGGCCCTGCGGGGCCCATCAGCAGTGCACGGCAAGTCCGTGTCTCATCGTGGGCTATGAACTCCCAGCTTGCTCCAGTCAAGCAATTGCTTATACTATCGTCGCAGCTGCCGTCCACGTAGATCTTGCCCAAGCACCAGTGCCCCCACGACACGCGAACACCTCCGTCACCTCCGTCGCGCCTCTGTCGAGGCGACGCGCCGCCTGGGTGAGGACAGGCACCCTTGGTGGACAACAGCGCCCGCTGGCGGCCGCTGTGAGATACAGTAGGGGCCCTGAAGAAGGAATCCTTTTCGTTGGGGAGGGGCTCCGCGATCCTTAAGTGTGTCACAGCTTACCTCAGGTTTCCCTTATGTCTTCGATAGTAAATCGAAGCTTAACTTATGGAAAAAAATGGGCATCGTTCCTTATTTAGGGTTCCTTAGGTCAACGCCCCGACTGTACCAACATGACTTGTTCCTAGAGGACCTTATGAATCAGCGCATCCCAACCATCATGAACGGCCAAACAACGCCACATGCGATAACACATGTTGTCAGGAGCGGCTAAGAACATCGTGCAGAGCTCATCTGCCAAGTGGTAGCCAGCCTGGATCGCACGAACCTTGGTCCGAGCAGCTCCACAGCTACCCCCCCAAGGCAGCCTTTGTTTTCAAATGCATTGTATTCGATGGAACGGAGCTCATGCCCGACGACGTCGCATCAGAATCTTCACTCCAGGCCTTATGTCCTGACTGCATCTCTTTGCATCTGGCTAAACACGGTTTCCTTTAAAGTTGTTTCGATGAGGGTCGGGGACACCGATGTCAGGCCAAGTGTCTCCCCGACATCGGTTTTTCGTTAACTCCGTGAAGGAAGCATCCCCCATCCGATCTTGGATAGGGACAGCGTCGCGGCCCCAACGGGGCCCTTTCCCGTCCTCCAAGTAATTTGCTACTCTTCTCTTTCCTCCTGGCATTCCTCGAAGATATGTTCCCCAGCGTGCCTCAGGACATTCAACTTCAAGTGGTACCTGATCTCCTTAGCATGCCTAGCCACAGGCGCCCCAGATGGAAAGAAGCACGGGTTGCCCTCGGAGCGAAGGAGGGAGGTGAGGCTCCTATGGCCCAGAGGAGGGTTTGAGAACTCGACCGAGGACCTGTCGAAAACCAGCAAGCCCATAATCTGAAACCCAATGGACCTCCGAGGAGTAGGTGGCGCCAGCCAGAGGACCATAGAAAACAATGCGCTTGCACAGACGCCGGCCCAGCGTTGCGTCACACCTGCGCACACGCTGAACTCCCTCCTTGACTACCCCCTGGCGCCAGCAGAACTTTTTGCGTCTGCCTCCTTGTCTCCTCGGCCTCCCTGCTGTACCATCTACCCCTAAGTTGACAGCGGTGCTCGTG